TATATATATATTAATAGTAATATTGGTAAGTTCAGACCTTATTTGGAAGTTACGACGCTGATGATTTAATGTAATAGTTCAGAAAACGTCACAGAAAATGGGCTGAAAATCAGATCCAAACAGAAAATAAAGATCTCTGCAGGTCCAGGAGAGACTAAACTCAACTTGTCTGTCTCCTAGAGACTCCAGGTTCACAACTAAATGTATTTAACAGATACAACAGTGGATTCTGCAGGACATGTCCTCTTTAAATGAATTGTTCTGCAGGGGCACATCCCAGTCACAGATCATTTGACAGAACACCCTCTCCTCTTGGTTTTCTCATGTAGAGAATGAAGTCATTAAAGCGACCGGTTTAGTTTAGTTTAATTTTGGATCATCACAGTTTCAGTCTGGGCCTGCAGCTTTGACTTCTCCAGCCTCTCAAGACAAAAGAATCATTGTCAATAAAGCAAAAATGTCTTATTTCTATAAAAACATTTCCTGATTTCATATTCAGCACGTGTTGATTTCAGGAAGGTGGGCTGTCACCCACCTGTGTCGTGTTGCTTTCCAGTTAGTCTCGTTTGATGCGAGGGGAGAATCTCTAACTTGGCCAGCTCCATTGTGCTCGCTAACAGCTGCGTAGCCTCCAGGACTGTGCAGTGCTCTGTGGACGTCCCGTCTATGGACAGCAGGTGGTCACCGGGGTGCAGCGCTCCACACCTGGATCATCAGCGAGAAGAATTATTTAACTAACATTTCCTGTTTTCTGTTTCTTTTAAATTCTTTTAACTTCAGAGTTGAACCTGGACATGTTTCAGATCAAAGGAAACCTAAGAATCTTGGCTAAAAGTTCATTTTACATTCACCAAACACAGTTCAAATGACAGGAAGTTGAATCAGAAAGTAAACAAACTGTACAAAATGGGATTGTTGCAAATCTGTAAATACATTACAACTAATCTGTAAATATTTTACAACTAATCTGTAAATATTTTACAACTAATCTGTAAATACGTTACAACTAATCTGTAAATACGTTACA